CAAAATAAGATGAGAAAAAAAAACAAAAAAAATTTCTTCTACTTTTTATTTTCGTCTTGTTTGATTTTCATTGGTTAATCAGACTTCACGTGCATCAATCACCACAGAGATCCTTCCCTGCCCCCCATTAGAATGTCTGACGCTCAATTCCTCGAGAGCACCTCTCTGCGGCTGCTTGGTCTCACGTTGACTGCTGACCTGAGATGGAACAAATACATTGAGTCAATTGCTTCGTCCACCGCAAGGAAAGTTGGCTCCCTGTGCCGTGCCAGGAAATTTTTCTCCCTGGAATCGATCCACCAGATGCTTAAAAAATTTCCTCAAAAATAAGAACGAGATGCGTATATGGATAACAGAGCTTCAGAGTCTTCGAAAAACTGAGTTTATAAAGGATTATATGTTATTTTGAGAAAACAAAAAAAATACCACTTGTAATCTATGTCTGAAATTCTAGGATCAAAAATTATTATTATTATAATTATTTACTTTCGTATTATTGTCCTCATCTTTATTGTTGCTATCACAACGTTTCGGTTCTTGTGACCTCCTGGTTCTTCAAGTGCTTGTCCCATGGTAGGTCGTGAATTTGCTGACAGAGTATTTGAACATTTCTGTTTGAATTTTAGGGATATCATTATTTATACTACAGGCAAAAAATTTGAGGCTACCCTGTATTTCTTTAATAAACATCTTAAAATGAGATAATTTTTGTATTTTTTTAAATTCAAAGATAAAATTTTATTACCTAAAGCGCATTTTTTTTATTTTGACAAGAAATATCATACAACAGCATCATATTCTGTTTTCGCCAATAAAACCACCAACTGTCCTAATTCCTGATTTACATATTCTTAGCATTCTTCCCAGCAGTTTAAAAATATAGATTGCAGACTTTCGCAACTATTCTTTAAGCACTGACAAAACTCAATCCCACTATTTGAGTATTTTCTTTAAACTTTCCTATCAAATTCATTCCATACTAATTCAATGGGTGAGACGTTAGGAGATGGGATTTAGGTGGCTATATCATTACTTCCAAAATTTTGTTCCTTTTGTTGGATTCGAGGTAATTGTAGCATAATTTAGAAGAGCATTTTGAATCGTTGTCTTGTTGAAAGGTGATTTTTTTTTCAATTATACGTCAACCAGATGGTATAGCATGTCTTTGAAAATCGAATGAAATGATTCATTTTTATGATTCTCTTCACCTGAATCAAATCTCCAGTCCTTCTGGCAGTCTCAAAAAGTTTACTAAGGTATTAATGGCGAAAAAAAACAAAAAAAAAAACAATATAAGTGTCGGGTGCCAACAGGTCTAATTTCACAGAGACGCGTGTGAATCATTTTTATTCAATTAAAGACGTTTGTGAATGACCGGATCGAAAGCGGCTGATGTTCTAGGTTATACTTACGGATAATTACTGCACGTTTGGGTCGTCATTCGTCGATGGTCCTTCAATGTTGGCAATATTGCTTAAATGAATATTCTTATACCAGTAGACCAGGTTCTGAACGGTTGTGTTATTCAAACAAATGCCGAGATTTTAAAGACAGTAATTTACAGACCTTCTGCTATACTCACTGACACTCAAGTTCCGTAGACACGACTAAGAAGTCCGTAGACACAGCTTTCGACAACGTGTAGCTGATGTGGTTCCCGTAGCAAGTAGTTTTTTTTACGGAATATGCCAACCGGTAATCTGCCATTTAATATCAATTCTTTTTATTGTTTTAATACGTCTTTTTAATATTTTATTTAGGTGTTTATCTTGGATTTTCTTCCAGAAGAGTCATTCTCTCTTTCTAAAATCACCCTGTGGCTTTGTCCATCTTTTTTCAATTTTTTTTCAGTTACCGTCATCTCTTTCTTTTTACTTTAATCTTTCTTTTCTAATCATAATATTTTGTTAAAACATTTCACCCCCAGGCAAGGCAATAAAGCCACGAGGACGCTAAAGAGTTGTCTAGTGCTAGGGAATAATATACAAAATCAACCAACCAAAATCCAAATATTTAGATTTCGGGATTAAAGAACCCATAGAGGTTGATATGCCGCTAAACAAAATCAACCAACCAAAATCCAAATATTTAGATTTCGGCATTAAATAACCCATAGAGGTTGATATGCCGCTAAACAAAATCAACCAACCAAAATCCAAATATTTAGATTTCGGCATTAAATAACCCATAGAGGTTGATATGCCGCTAAACAAAATCAACCAACCAAAATCCAAATATTTAGATTCCGGCATTAAAGAACCCATAGAGGTTGATATGCCGCTAAACAAAATCAACCAATCAAAATCCAAATATTTAGATTCCGGCATTAAATAACCCATAGAGGTTGATATGCCGCTAAACAAAATCAAGCAAACAAAATCCAAATATTTAGATTCCGGCATTAAATAACCCATAGAGGTTGATATGCCGCTAAACAAAATCAAGCAAACAAAATCCAAATATTTAGATTCCGGCATTAAATAACCCATAGAGGTTGATATGCCGCTAAACAAAATCAAGCAAACAAAATCCAAATATTTAGATTCCGGCATTAAATAACCCATAGTGGTTGATATGACGCTAAACAAAATCAAGCAAACAAAATCCAAATATTTAGATTCCGGCATTAAATAACCCATAGATGTTGATATGCCGCTAAACAAAATCAAGCAAACAAAATCCAAATATTTAGATTCCGGCATTAAAGAACCCGTAACTAAGCAAAAACGACCAACCAACAATTCCTCTGATTTTATTCTTCTTACTTATTCTAATTTATCATTTTTGTTTTTTCCTATTCAGCGCTCTTTCGATTTTTTCATTTCATTTTTCTTCAAACTTTCCTCTCTCTCTCTCTCTCTCTCTCTCTCTCTTTCTCCTCCTCCTCCTCCTCCTCCTCTTTCTTCTTCTTTTCTTGTTTATTTTCTCTCGTCTTATTCTTATAACCTTTTTTTCATTTCAACCTGCTCCATTTCAGGTCATACTTTTTCTCATGTTATCTCTCTATTGGTTTGGCTTTTTCGAATATTTTCCCATATATTCCGGCACTAAATGTTTCTTCTTTCTTTCTTTCTTTCTTTCTTTCTTTCTTTCCTTCTTTCGTTCTTTCTTTCTTTCGTTCCTTCTTTCTTTTCTTTCTTTCTTTCTTTCGTTCTTTCTTTCTTTTCTTTCTTTCTTTCTTTTTCTTTCTTTCGTTCCTTCTTTCTTTCTTTCTTTCTTTCTTTCTTTCTTTCGTTCCTTCTTTCTTTCTTTCTTTCTTTCGTTCTTTCTTTCTTTCGTTCCTTCTTTCTTTCTTTCTTTCTATCGTTCTTTCTTTCTTTCTTTCTTTCTTTCTTTCGTTCTTTCTTTCGTTCTTTCTTTCGTTCTTTCTTTCGTTCTTTCTTTCTTTCGTTCCTTCTTTCGTTCCTTCTTTCTTTCTTTCTTTCGTTCTTTCTTTCGTTCTTTCTTTCTTTCGTTCCTTCTTTCTTTCTTTCTTTCGTTCTTTCTTTCTTTCGTTCCTTCTTTCTTTCTTTCTTTCTTTCTTTCGTTCTTTCTTTCTTTCTTTCGTTCTTTCTTTCTTTTTTTTTTCTTTCGTTCTTTCTTTCTTTCGTTCTTTCTTTCTTTCTTTCTTTCTTTTCTTTCTTTCTTTCTTTCGGTCTTTCTTTCTTTCGTTCTTCTTTCTTTCTTTCTTTCTTTCGTTTCTTTCTTTCTTTCTTTCTTTCTTTCTTTCTTTCTTTCTTTCTTTCTTTCTTTCGTTTCTTTCTTTCTTCGTTCTTTCTTTCTTTCTTTCGTTCTTTCTTTCTTTCTTTCTTTCTTTTCTTTCTTTCTTTCCTTCTTTCTTTCTTTCTTTCTTTCTTTCGTTCTTCTTTCTTTCTTTCTTTCGTTTCTTTCTTTCTTTCTTTCTTTCTTTCGTTCTTTCTTTCGTTCCTTCCTTCTTTCTTTCTTTCTTTCTTTCGTTCTTTCTTTCTTTCTTTCTTTCTTTCGTTCTTTCTTTCTTTCGTTCCTTCTTTCTTTCTTTCTTTCTTTCGTTCTTTCTTTCTTTCTTTCTTTCGTTCTTTCTTTCTTTCTTTTATTCCATTCTTACACTTTTTCCCTATGTTTCTTTCTCCCTCTCTTACAATTTTAATCTTATCACATTTTCACGATTATCATTTTTACTTTTACTTTTTTTTCCTTAATTATCCACACTAGCATTGTCTTCCATTCTCCCGTTTCTGTTATTCCTTCATTTGAGAAACCATTATGGAAACTTTCAGAGAAAAAGCTTTTAACGTACAAGACAATGAAACACAAAAAGTTCACACATCTACACTCAGACATCAATCATAAAACGAAAATATAACAAGCCGACCAGACCCGGGACAAAAGACCCTTTCTTTCACAAGACTCCTTTTTCTCCACACTCAGACCAACTGAAAGATATCAAATACTTACAAGACCGAGACGGGGGTGGGGGGCTTACCTCATTTTGTTTCCTACAATCTGCACCCCCAAAAATCAAATGTCCCGATACTGGCTATATTGAAAAGCATACACACTAAATCGCAGTTCTTTTCTATCCTATGCGCCAATGCTGTACTTCTGAGGGCTGACCTGCGGTTTAGGGAACGGGAGTTGGGGGGTGAATCACTTCACTTCATTGCACCCGACTCTCCTCTTCCCGTCTCGGTGAAGTGATGACTTGTGACATTACATTCTGCTCGTTGATTTCCATAGGGTGATTTAAAGATCTTGGAAATACCGCAAAATCGGTAACAAAAGTGGCAATAACAATAACATCAGAGAAGGCGAGTTTAAGCGGACAGCCAATGTGTCGCTTTGAGGAATGCCTGAACGGTTTTTGGAAAGGTTTTCGGAAAATTGTTTGAGAGAGTGTGTGCAATGCGGAATGTTACAAGGCGTAGAAAGAAAGAAAGAAAGAAAGAAAGAAAGAAAGAAAGAAAGAATATAGAAAAGACATCACAAAAATAAAAAGAGACGGAAGGGAGAAAGTAAGGAAAGTATTGATTAGAAAAATATGTTCAAATAAAAGCAAGAAAAAATAGAAAATGCAATAAATTAAGAAATAGAAAGGGGGGAACTAAAAAACAGAGGGACACAAACATATCAAGTAAAAGAATAGAATGAAAAGAGTCACTCAGATAGATAGATAGATAGATAGATAGATAGATAGATAGATAGATAGATATAATCAGCCTTAGATAGATAGATAGATATGAACAGAATTGGCTACTTATGACAGATTGAAATAGATAGATAGATAGATAGATAGATAGATAGATATAATCAGCCTTAGATAGATAGATAGATAGATAGATATGAACAGAATTAGCTACTTATGACGGATTGAAATAGATAGATAGATAGATAGACAGACAGATAGATATAATCAGTCTTAGATAGATAGATAGATAGATAGATAGATAGATAGATAGATGATAGATATGAACAGAATTGGATACTTATGACAGATTGAAATAGATAGATAGATATAATCAGCCTTAGATAGATAGATAGATAGATAGATAGATAGATAGATAGATAGATAGATATGTAACAGGGAAATTATTCCAAATCCTGTAACAGTATAAATACTTTCGTGGCAATTGCTCCGAGGAGCTGCATTCGCTGGTTCCCAGACTTCATGAATTCAAGCGCCCTACGAGGCTGGCATCCCGCTCTCACCCTTTCACTGTCGAAACTCATAAATGTAGCCGTCTCTTCTACTCCAATAGCTTCATGTCTCGCACCTCTCACCTGTGGAACTCCCTTCCCTATTCCAGTTTCCCTGAGAGCTATAATCTCCAACTATTCAAATATAATGTCACTCGACATCTCCAGTTGTCTTGATCTATCCACTACCCTTCTCCTCATCCTTTCCTCTATCACTCCTATCTGATGTTGTTCCAAATTTTTCTGTAACCCCTTGCGTCCTAGTGGCTTCCCGCCTTGCTTGGGGTGAAACGCGTAAACAAAAAAATTGTCCATCCCACAAAATATCTAAAACCAACTAAACTAATTGAGTTTTTTTTTTTAGGTTTTCAGATGAGACGTTTAGACATCGTGACACCATTTGTCATAAGAATCACTGAAAAACTCTTTTAGTTATTCAGCTAGAAAGGGAACAGGTTAAAATCGTTTTGTGTCAGCCCAACTGAGCAATGGCGAGAGGAAAAAAACATTCAGGCGTTCAGTAATGGTAGCAACATTCATAGTCTGGACTTCCATCTTCAAAGTACGTTCATAAACTATCAGAAGAACGGTGAATAAGTTTTAAAAAGAGGGAACGGTAAAGATGAAAACTGGATCAGGAGGTCACAACAGGAAGAGGGATCTTCATCTCAACTTAGAGCTAAAGAGATCAATTAGAAAAGATCCAACTCAATTCCTTAGACACGTAAGAGAGGTGTTTCACCTATAACAGCCGAAAGAGCAGTGAAAAAAGACTTGGAAATAAAATCGTAAATGAAACCTACGAGGCAACTTATTATTTCAGAACAAAAATTTAAACGGTTAGAGAGGGCGAAGATCATCTAGAATAAGCTGGGAAATGATCCTGCGACGCCATGAAATAATCCTGGAATATATATATATATATATATATATATATATATATATATATATATATATATATATATATATATATAGGGTAAATTCTGACATCGTAGTCATGACATTTTTTTCTGTTTTAAGATCTGTCTTGGTTTATATGAGTCGGCCAAAAAGCTTTGACATAGCCATTTGTTGCTAGATCTGGATGTCTTGCATCTTCCACTCCCCTTCAGAGCAGTATTTGCACTTTATTTTAATCCTTCATGAGCTTCCGATCATTAGCTATGATCAATTAAAGGTGAGCATGCCATTTTCATTATGATCGATAACAATGACAATTTTCATTTTCATTATGATCGATTTGATCACAATTCTTCTGTTAAGCTTGGACAGTAATTATACATTCTTATTGCTCAAAGTAGAGTCCAATGGTGCTATAAAAACGTCGGAGAATTCCAGTAAGATATCTTTAATCATTTCTAAGATACAACGGTTTGGACAATTTTGCTGTTAAACCCGACCTATTATATTACAATTACTAGTACAGTGAATACCGATTGTTGCCATATAAATAAACGGCTAATATTACCATTACTAATCTCAAACATGTATATATTAACACAGCCAATCAATTATCATCAAATGATATACGAGCTATTATTATTATTATTATTATTATTATTATTTCCTTTGTATACTCATTTCTTTCCGGGTCCCAACCAGAGACCTAAGGTCACAAATGGCATTTTCCACTGAGGACTAAAAAACAGATCACACGCATTTTACATAGATAAAGCCCTTCGTAAGGTGTGAGCTCTGCATGTGAGCACAATTTTTTTGTATTTCTTTAAGGCATGGGCTACCAAGAATCCCTTCAATGGGTCTATCAGAAAACTTTCCAAAAAAACCGAGGCCTCCAACTATATCTGGAATTGTTGTTGTCCTTATATGCTGCATATTTGAGATTTCGATTTCAATTCCTTGTACTTTGATATTTTTTGAAGATCTTCAAAAATGCATTACAGTCTGCAGAGAGCGCCATGTCAATAAGAAGGCATATTCTGTTTTTTTGTTGGTTTCTGGTCCCTATGTCTGGGCGATTATCTTTGATTGTTCTGTGTGTATTGTAAAATCCCATACAATTGTTACAGATCGTATCCTTGTAACCGAGTCTGGGTGCTGTTCATACCAATTCTTTTCAGTTTCCTTTCTGTAAAAGTTGCATATTTTTCCAATGCAGATTTTGGCCCACTCTGTCATGCCGGGTTTCAGTGGGTGCCAATACCTTGCAACCTGATACAAGATCGCCAATTGTTTCTGGATATTTATCACAGAACAAGCATTTTGGGCGAACACAATTTTTCAGTATGAGGGCTTGAAAATTTCTAGTTAGCAAGCATCGGTCCTGTGCAGCAAGAATATAAGCTACACAACGTAACCTGTTGAGTACGGGGTTTGTCGACATCAGTTTGTTTATTACGGGGAGAATATTGACCATAAAGGTGCTTATCTTGCCATTGTTTCTGCATTTGATACAATGCATTTGCTTTTGCTTTCTTTTTTAGGTTCTTTGACGCTGCAGTCGTTGTATCATGGTTTACTTGCACTTCTTCACTCACTTGAAATTCCCTTTTCAAAGTGTCGGCTTCTTTTATTACTGAAGAAAGTTTCTTATTTCTTTCGTGTTGCTTGACACAGATAATCATACAGTCTTCTGTAGTTCCCAGTTATCTTTAAAGACCGACTGTTGTGGTTTGTAAGACAAATCTAGTTGAAATAATCCTCTACCTCTTTCGGATCTGGACACATACAGCCGATCAACATCAGCCTTAGGATGATGCATGCGGTAACAAGTGAGAAGCTTTCTAGTTTTGACGTCCTGTTATAACGTACCTATGGACGATAATGGGTATGTCCCAATTCCTATAAATACCGTGGTATAGAGCAGGGGTTTTCAAACTGTGGTCCACGGACCACAGGGGGTCCGCACGGACAAGATAGGGTGTCCGTGGACAGCAAACACTTTTTTATGGGTGACGTGCAACTTATAAGCGCTTACAAGTAACTTATAGGCGGATCATGAAATAAATTGATTCAATAAACTATTTCATAGATTTGGTATACTAATATAATTTTTATCTTGAATTGATAAAGACAATGGATTCTATTCATGCACAGAAGGAACCAAAGGATTTGAATTTTGGATCTATTTTGCGATTTCCGGCTTTCTCATTGGCTGTGATGCGTTTGCATTAATGCAAAATTATTGTTATATTCATCAAATATTTATGTATAAATTTCATGAGCGTTTTTAAGGGGTTTCCTAAAGTAAAGCCTGAAATATAAAGAGGTCCGCAAGTCAAAAAGTTTGAAAAACCCTGGTATAGAGTGTATATGGTAGTCCTTTAATTCACTAGTGATTCAAATTGATTCACTTGTAGCTCACCACTAGCAGTTGATTACTTACTACATGCCGCTGGTGAATCTTGTATGTTGTTCCTGTTTTTTATCGTTCCATTTTCAAATTTCGGTTTTGTTATTCTTGTCCAGAAAACTTTTTCCTCGGTTACAACACGTCCATTCTCTTAATGACAGCCATGGTGCAGTTAACTATATTGAAATTGCATTGCACCACAGGGACAGCCAAGATGTTTATGTCTAATACGGTTTATTCTTCTTCTTATTATTATTATTATTATTATTATTACTACTACAACTACTACTTTTGACCAGTGAACATTTCATAGTTTTTTCTATTTTAGCATGCTGATGAATCTTACTTAATTCTTCAGTTAATGATTGAACAAGCGCAGGGCGAGTTCTGCGACAATAAAATATCCGTAGAAATTCCCCTACAACATCGTTAAGTATTTGAGCTTAACAACTTTAACAAGCATTGCAATAACAATCGTAAATATGAGGGTTAGCCAATATTTTAAGAAGTGGCTACAAATGAAAAGATTGGAAATTGGCAACTTTTCTCCATTTCACTGAGACAGACATTAAACATTTCTATCTTCCGTTCGTTATTTCCTTTTCTCACTGAAACCAAGTAGCGTATTTGATTTTTTTTCTTTTTACCGAATAGTCTATTATAGGTAAGATATTAGCAGGAGACGTTATCTATCTACCTTTTATCTTTCTTTTTTTCCACTGAAACCAAGTAGCGTCTCTGATATGTCTTTTGTCTTTCCACGCGATCCAAATGGAATACTCCATTATCTATGAGGTATTGGCAGGGCGTAACGGTCGTGCGAACAAATGAAGGGAGGAACAGATATAATTATAATAGGATTATTATTATTACAACTTTTTCCATCTGGCATTATTTTTATTTGCTTCTGATGCATTTATTTCGTTGGCAATTGTTTTACTGCCAGACGAGAAAACAGCGACGAACGTCTCTATTTTTTTTCTCTTTAAGTGTCTTTCTTGGACACTTGCCTTGGGTTTTGGCTCATGATGTTCGCCAATGACCCCTGCGGAGTAGAGGAAGGAAATTGATTGGTGGATTTTTAAATTTATTTTCTCTTTTTTTTTTTTATTAAAATCTATCTTAGCTTTGGAAACTGGTACATTGACCTGACCAGATATTTCCTAAATTTAGCCAAGTCTTATTAAACACGGTTCTCCACATTTGTAAACTTGAAAATGGCTTCATTTTTGCGGGGTGGGGGAAAGTAACTAATATTACATGCTTTCCTTTCTTTCTTTTTTTTTTTTTGGGGGGGTTGGCGGCAAAGTAATCGTCTGTTTCTATGAATAGAAATGATTAGAGGTAAAAATTTACCGAATAGTGGGCGGGACGAAGAAATTAGAATATGTCTGCATTTGTGCTTATATTATCCACACACTGGCGTGGTTGATTTTGATCATTTCTTTCAATTATTTTTCACATGGTCACACGTCTGCCTAAAGTTGAAATTACTACGAGGCAGTGATTTCGCCATCTTCAGGTACAGGAGAAACTCATGGGCACTGGCCAAGAAGGAAAGAAAACGGATTGATCCTTTCGAGATCTGGGTATATCGCAGTAAGAAGAGGGTAGATACCCTCTGAACAATGACGGAGCGGATGGACCTAAGCAAGCCTCGGCATATTATATAACAAGGCGGCTTCGATGAGGACATCATGCTGGACACAGTGGGGGGTAAACGACGCGACGCCAGGTATAACCACTTATGTGTCAGTTTTATGATATGAAGAGGTGAACTGGAAAAACGGTGCCGGAGGCTGAAATAAATAAATGAGTATTGTGACCACTACGTCGTAAAATGCGCTAAAATAAATATATATATATATATATATATATATATATATATATATATATATATATATATATATATGCGTGTGTGTGTGTGTCCATATATATATATATATATATATATATATATATATATATCAATCAAGCCGCTATCTATTACTCCACCGTGCCTCCATAATTCCAGTCGAATCCATTACATTCACTTACGAGCTAATACCCTTGGGAAAGGTATGAATCCTCTTCTTCTCCTTCCAGCTATGGGTAAAATAGCAGGACAGACTGGGTTCTATAGCCTTGGAGGGCAACTGGTCTAGGAGAAGGAGAACTCTGAATTCAAAACCTGAGGGGGGTTGTTTGGGTACCTTGTGGCACGCAGTGCACCAGGTCTCTGTATTCGTCCCTTCAAAAAGTGTGGATGGTCCTGCACGAGGCCTTCACCACTATAATCAAATCTCATGTGCCGGTGTCGGGCTGTCGGTTTCCTGGAAACTGATCTGCTTGACCCTCATACGTCGAATCTCGGTGGGAGAGTCGATTATATATATATATGATTATTATTTTAAAAATATGATTCCATCGCTACATAAGAGTTCTCATGTTTCAAAAACAGAAGCTAAAACTTCAATTTAATTATAGAAATTAAATTGAATTAAAATACCCAGCTCTGTTTAATTTGTTTACTTTAATTCAATTTGTTTACTTTAATTCAATTTGTTTACTTTAATTCAACTTAATTTCTGTTTTTGAAGCATGAGAACTCTTATGTAGCGATGGAATCATATTTTTTAAAAAAGTAATTATAATTTAGGCTCTACTTGTGTATTGAGCACTGTTTTGTAAAAATAAAAACTTCGGATTATTGACCTAACAGATATTTCCTATTTTTTCTATATATTTTCCACACATACACACACACACACACACACACACACACACACATATATATATATATATATATATATATATATATATATATATATATATATATATATATATCGTGTGTAACAGCAAAAATTGCCCAAACAGCATCCGATAATTGTTCATCATTCAATATGTTTAATATCTAAAAAAAAAACACTAAACTACTTGTGTTTCTTTTTTTCGAGGTTTTCAGATCAGACTTTTAGACATCGTGACACCATTTGTCGTAAGAATCACTGAAAAACTCTTTCAGTTATTCAGCTAGAAAGAGAACAGGTTAAAATCGTTTTGTGCCAGTTCAACCGTCTTCCCAAAATGAGCAATGGTGAGAGGAAAAAGATCATTCAGACCTTCAGTAATGGTACGTACATTCATAATCTGGCTTCCCTCTTCAAAGTCCATTCAAAAACCATCAAGGGGACGGTGAATAAGTTTAAAAATGAGGGAACAGTAGAGAAGAAAACTGGATCAGGAAGTCACAACAGGAAGAGGGATCGTCATCTCAACTTCGAGATAAATAGATCAATTAGAAAAGATCCAACTCAATTCCTTAGACGTTTGGCACGTAAGAGAGGTGTATCATCTCTAACAGCCGAAAGAGCAGGGGAAAAAGACTTGAAAATAAAATCGTACGTGAAATCTGTGAGGCAACTTATTATTCCAGGTCAAAATGTTAGAAGGTTAGAGAGGGCAAAGATCATCTTGAATAAGGTTGGAAATGATACTGGAATAGGAATAGTATATATATATATATATATATATATATATATATATATATATATATATATAATTTTAAAAATGAGGGAATAGTGGAGAGAAAACTGAATCAGGAGATCACAACAGGAAGAGGGATCATCATGAGACAGACATTAAACACCTCTATCTTCCGTTCGTTATTTCCATTTCTCACTGAAACCAAATATCATTTACTCAGTTGCTATATAAAACATAGCATTTAGTCACTTACTATAGGTACCATGACATTTAGTCCTATGCTACACAAACCATATCATTTAGTCAATTGCTATAAAAAATCATAGCATTTACCCACTTGCTACAAAAACCACAGCATTTAACCAGTTGCTCCAGAAACCATAGCATTTAGTCAATTGCTACAGAAAACGTAAATTAGTTACATGCCACTGAAAAAAATAAAAGCGGACAATGTGATCAACAACCATTGGCTACAGTCTGTTTCATGTTTAAACGCCATCTTCAGACCTTATAGCTACTTCAAATTGCTAGTGTTGACTCAACTTACACTGTGTGTATTTATATTATCAATGATCTTCCTGATGTCATCAGTTCACACACACATATATATATATATATATATATATATATATATATATATATTAAGAAGTATACATAATATATTGTGCAATTAATGTAAGATATTATGTATATTTATTAATATATAAACTAAATAGTTCTTGTTACTTAACATTGACTTTTTCCTTACACTATAGAGTATTTATATGTATTTGTATACGATCGCTCGTATCCCTACCTATACTTACACATTCGGTTATATATATATATATATATATATATATATATATATATAAGAGAGAGAGAGAGAGAAAGGGAGGGAGGGGGGAGAGAAAGAGAGACATAGTGAGAAAGTGAGAGAGAAAGGGCAACATAATTCAGATAAATAGATATACGCGTGTGAAACTAGACAACACAGTAGAGAAAAAGTAAGAAAAGAATAATCCAATAAAAAAAACATCTAATTTTAATTATTTCTAATAAATTAAATTGTATTTTAATAAAGTAAATCGAAATTCTACAAGGTAACCAAAAAAGTTCTGTCCGTTTTTAAAGGAAAAAAAGAAAACGCTTCACAGTATGTGTAACTTATATTTAGTCTTCGAAGTAATCGCCATCGGCATCCAGCACCTTCTGCCAACGTGTCTCCAGCTGTTCAATGCCCTTGCGGTAGAACTCGGGTGGTTTTGACGCAAAGAAGTCCGTGAGGGCTTTGCACAAGTCTGCTTCATTGGTGAAGGATTTCCCACAAAGTTGATTATCCAGGGAATGAAAGAGGTGGTAATCGGCTGGCGCAAGGTCAGGTGAATAAGGTGGATGGCACAAAGTCTCTCATCCAAGTTGCTGTATGGTATCCCTGACCACTCGCGCGACATGCGGCCTGGGTGTTTGTCATGGATCCTTCTGGCGCAATGCCTGGCGCAATGCCACACGTTTCAATTGCTGCGATTATAGGTCTCCAGTGACCGTTTAGCTCGTTGGTAGCAGTTCATAATGAACCACTTGACGACCTGTCCACCTGTGACGTCGTCCCCCCTGGTCGCAGCGTCGACTGTGTCGTTCGATCCCGTTCGCGACGCCAGCTGTGACGTGGCGTGGTCCGGGGTTCTGAACCTTTGGTCACGACACCAGTTGTGACGTCTTTTGCGGCGTCAGCTGTTCGCTCCTCGCTGCTCCAAGTGTGACGTTCTAACCCTTTGGTTAGATGAATACCAGCCTCGTCGTTCCCAACTCGCTTCCAACGCCTGGTTACTAGGGTAACTGTACTGATCTCCGGTCTGCCTACCCACGTTGTGATTAGATCTTAGACAGACGGGATCAAACAGGGATTGGGGCCGTATGCAAGCTGAGTCCAACGGGGTAGATAACACACACGAAAAAGAAAAACTCACAAGGTCAAAAATTATTGAAGAAAAAGGTAACAACTTTTTATATCTAAATGTTCGTTACACAAGATTATTCCTACCTCTCGACCCGTTTTGTGGACTGTGGCACCAAGCTTCTACCATATAACTTTAAGGCTTCGAGTTGCCTGCTCTCTAGAAATTTGCATTTTGGGGTGTGGTTTGGTTTCAACACTGGGCGCTGATCTCTACCTGTCGTTCACAGCTGATTTCTCTCGTCGTCCGTGGCTGTAACTAACTCTCTCCTCAGAGTCTGAACTATTGTTCACTCATCTCTGCCGTCAGTTCGCGAACTAACTTCTTCTCTTCGGCTTCGGTTGGACGAGCTTATTCACTTCGGCTTGAGTTGGGTGAATTTCTTCACTTCGACTTGGGTTGGACGAATTTCTCTTCTTGGTTTGGTTCCAACTTCTCCACTTAGGCCAAACGGCTGCTTCACTTCGGCTTCTCTTGCCGCAAAGGGGACTAATGAACAAGGCCCGCCGTCCGCGCTGCAACTCCAACTCCAACTTCGTCCGAGGCGCAACCCCAACTAACTCTCTCTTCAGAATCTGAATTATTGTTCACTCATCTCTGCCGTCAAATGCTGGGACCCTCGGTCCACCTAACAGCCTTCTTAGGTCAGCTGACAACCCTTGTCTTACTCCCTCTTCATCCCCCACTGCTCTATCTGAATCATAGTCCGACATATTTAAAGAGAAAGACAATCTACGCAGCAACAATCGAGGTTGGGAAATAAAATAAAGTGTCCTACCTTACAGACGATTCTGTTCTCGTTCCTTTCGGGCCCGGGTCGTTTTGAGTCCTATTTGAAATTTCTCAGCAACAGCGGTCGATCGATGAGACGTGACGTGGCTGTCTCAGGGTTGATCCTTTGGTCACGGCACCATTTGTGACGTCGTCCCCCCTGGTCGCAGCGTCGACTCTGTCGTTCGATCTCGTTCGCGGCGCCAACTGTGACGTGACGTGGTCCAGGGTTCTGATCCTATGGTCACGACACCAGTTGTGACGTCTTTGCCGCGGCGTCAGCTGTTCGCTCCTCGCTGCTCCAAGTGTGACGTTCTAACCCTTTGGTTAGATGAATACCAGCTTCGTCGTTCCCAACTCGCTTCCAACGCCTGGTTACTAGGGTAACTGCACTGATCTCCGGTCTGCCTACCCACGTTGTGATTAGATCTTAGACAGACGGGATCAAACAGGGATTGGGGCCGTATGCAAGCTGAGTCCAACGGGGGTGATAACACACAAGAAAAATACAACTCACAAGGTCCAA